TGATGCAAATATGGATCAAGGCCCTTTGGCTGTACTTCTCCCACATCATTAAGACTGAAAATGTATCCATACAGCAACCACTTTTAGCAACCCATATTTATTTGGGAGACACAAGAGTTTGGAGCTAAATTGTTAGCCTGAACATTGCAATTGAAAGCTCTCAGCTAAGTCCACAAAACACTCCTAGGTAATTAACCATTTTGGTCTGACCGAACATTGGGATGTCTAGCAACCCATCAGAGAAGTGGCAACTTTATGTGTTTGCAAACCTGCCAACCATTCACAGAGGAACTTTTATAACATCCTTATGGCGATTATTTATTAAATTTGTATCTCAACTTTCCTCCAAAAATCACACACCTGGTCCCCACTTCCCTAAATTATACATCATGGGTACTTTATTGGCTCTTAAGGCTGCTCAAAGATTTTGTTTGGCCCAAACCAACACAATTCACATGTCACAAACTAATGTGCAGCTCAGAATAGAGCTAATGTGTCAGTGAAAGTTGCAGGCTACAACCACACGTTCCTCAGCCCTAGTTTAATGTGCCATCCAAAACTTGGATCCTGACTTAACGAGCCATTTGCAAATCAGGATGATGTCCAGGCTTGCAAATCCTGGGTCATTTGGAATCCAGAAACCTGGATCATGGGTCTTCATAGCACTCTAAGAATCCTGGAAGTTGTAGGATGTATTTTGTGCCTAAACATGCATAGGCTTGCACCCTAAACAAACTCATTTGGGTGTATTCAGCCAGCCAAACTAGCAAGAAACGCTAACCCAGAATGAGAAGCATATTAGCCATTCATGCTGAGCCATTCTGTACAGATGTGGCCAATGCTTCCAGATATCTCCATTAATTTAAAAAAGGTACATAAAGATGTTGTGGTTTTATTGTTTTACTGTCTTATCGTTTTATTGACTTGTGTGTGCTTTTTGCCCATAAGCTGTCTTTTGCTTTGTGCAACTCGTGAGTAACAAGGTACACACAGACAGACACTGCTAGGAACACTGTTGATGTAGAAACATGTACAGGACCAGAGAAACAACAGTTAGGAAAACCTGTGAAAATATCTCCAAAGTAAAACAACAACAACCATTTTCCCAGGACCAATTATGCAGTATTACAGCCCCAGAAGAGAAACACTTGGCGAGATCAAATCCTCCCATGTGCTTTGGAAGTTAACCTTTTCCATCATCATTTGCAAAATTTAGCAACAGCTCACCCACTGGCTAAAATTCACTCCTGCAACTAAACAACCAGTTCCACAGAAACCATCATATGTTATGTATCTTCAGGGGGATTGCAAATCAAGCTGACAAATGAATAGCCTTACTAAGAGAGAGAGCCACAATGCCTTCTGGAAATCAAGCATGCGATATTTCTGCTGTTTCGTTGCCTAGCATAGTGCAGTACTCTGTAGAAATCTTGGATTATAACCCCCGGCAGTCTCCATGCTTGCTGGAAGATGCCACTCTGGAGACGTCTGTTCTAATGTCTAGGTAGCTTGTTCTAACATTTCTCCCCCTAGGAATTTCTCCCCACAACCCCAGTTAAGTCATGGATGGGACTGAGAATTTGCTTGGCCCAAGACCAGATGTCCTCCATCTCTCCACCATTCTCTCATCCATCACCTGCAAAGTCAGAGGGACAATCACCAATGTGTCCTACTGAAAGAACTACAGAGAAATGGTTGCCTAACTCATGTGCAGAAGGGAAAATGCATCTGCCTTTTCTCAGGTCCATCTGCTCAGTGTTGTTTACTTTCGCTTTGCAAGGTCCCAGGCAGAGAAAAATCATGCGCCATCACCTCCCACCTGAGCTTTCTACCTGGACTGAACTCAGGGACTTCTACTTGGAAAGCATCACCCAATCATAATCTGCCCACTAAGGCACTGAAGATGCCTTCAAGGTTCCTCCTGAGTGACATTTTGCAGAAATCCAATTACCAAGGGTCAAACTGTTCTCTTGGCTGCCACTGGGTGATGGCAGAGAGAGTTCACCTGAAAGTATCCCCTGGTTCTGAGATTCCAACCAATACAATAATATTGCAATTTCATCCCCTACAGCAACAGAGCTACCGAGGGGACCTCCTCTTTGTCCCAGGAAACTGAGGAAAATGAGTGTGCTGTCCAGACATCTGCCAACCCTCCTTTCTATGGAACGCATCCACACATTACATACTGGACCGCCAGAAAATTTCACTAAGAATCTAATTTCGTACTGCTGGATCCAACTCTGCCACTCCATTGCTTGGGCTCGATTCACTAACCCTTTTAAGGAAGGAGTCCTGCAGTCAAGGAGCAAAATCCTAATAGTACATTTGCAAGGGACTTTTGCTAAAGAATCCTAAACTATTCTGGACATGATTCATAAGCAACAGTTTTCCATTTCATAGGGACTTGGAGACACCGAATAAACAAATGCGCATGCAGCAAACTTGGTAAAGGGAAAGCGAGAGAGGGCCATTTAGAGGTTAGGGAAGAGACTGCCTCTGAACTGCCCCAGACCCTCTCGTCTCCCTCTAGGGCAGGGAGGGGGAACCTCAGGTCCAGGGGCCAAACCTGGCTCTTCAGAATCCTCCAGAGAGCCACTTCCCATCCCTGCAGCCCCACTCCATTTCCCCAAGTGCCAGTCATTTGGTGGTTGGCCAGCTTTTGTGAAGCTTTCGCTCTCCTCCTCGAAAGACTGAAATGCCTTCTCTATGGATTAGTTACTGGCAGCGAGAGCTTTAAGCTAAGCCATGCTGGCATTTCCACTCTGTGAGCCCTGCCCCTTTTGCTTCCAGCACCACCCACTGCTGAAACGTGGCCCTCCAACCAGAATGGCCTAGGTGCCCCAGCCCTGCTCTCAGCCACTTTCTTTCCTTCCAGACCATCTCCATGTAACAGCTGCTGTTAGATATTGGTGTCTGTAGGTTTCTTAATCAAGAAGTAGGGAAGAATAATGTTACCATCTTTGGATTGTTACATAAAAACATATGAAGCCAAACTAACAACACTGATTTTATTTAGCTTGGATTTCGCTACACCAGAGCTCTGGGCAACCCCATGTCCTCCAAATGCTTTGGACAGCAACTCAAACATCAACCATCGGCCACGCGGGCTGAGGCTGCTGGGAGCTGTATTCCAAAAGGCACCACTACACGGCCTGCCCCTGGTCTAAACAGGGATTGAAAGAGGCTCTGGAGAGTTTCAGGTGGGAGTCTTTCCCTGCCATTCTGGAGATCAACCTGGAGGAAGTCCGCTTGCAAGGCATGCCCTCCGTTAGTAAACACCCTCTTGATAACACAAGAAGAGAACAGCAATCAAAACTCCGCAAGCATTTAGCTGCAGAGATGATGGGTCTAGCTTAACATCTGGCAACGGAAAGTGCTGATTGTTTTCAAACAATTTAGAAATATATCTTTGAATGAATGCAAATACATAAATACCTGGGGCAAAATCTAAGGCAATTTCCCCTTCACGGGCCTCACTGTTAGGAATGAACAGGGTTCATTTGCAGCATTCATGCTTTCGCTTTTCAGCAAGACACGTGCAACTGAATGGGCGACCAACTGGACTAAGATACAATGGATGACCCTTGCTATTTTAGCTTTCCTGAGATCAAGTCTTCTAACCTAGTGGTTGGAAAGTATTAAGGGGAAGAAGGAATTCAACTAGGCTGAAGGAACTTTCTCTATTATCCATCTGTGTATGTTCAAATGCAAATACTCTATGCACGGAAAAGCCCCCAGGCTTTCCCAGCTAGTCTCGAGGCCATCGGAAAGGTGCCCAGTTGGAGAAGGCCGATATACAAGTCAGAAGATGTGATCATACACACATGTGGGGAAAGAAAGCACAAATGCTCAGTATATATAATGCGTGGACAGAGATGCGGGGGTGGAATAGAAATATTGCTCCTGGGAATTAAAAAATGTAAACATTGACATGGGCTTTGGGAAAATTAAACACTATATTTGATGAATGCCTTCTTTGTTCATAGGTTGTATTTATGGTGGATCTAACGTTATTCTATTGCTATTGTTTACTGTATTGTTGTATTTTATTCCTTGATTGCATGTAAGCCACCCAGAGAGCCTATGGCTAATCAGGTGACCTATAAATCAAATAATAACAACTGTATAAAGATAATTCATATTGTTCAAGATGTGACACATTCCATAATAAAGTTCCCATGGATGGCTTCTCATTCCGGAAATCCCAGAAACAAGGATCCGTGCCTTTTTCATGCATGAATGCTATTGATTGGACCAGCTAGTAAGAAGCTAGTAAGATACCAAGAGAAGCCTCCAACCTAAAACAAGAGTGTGCCAACTTACCCTTGCACATCAGGGAGCAAAGGCCTACAGGGAAGTTTCACCTGGTCCCCTTTCCCTGGTCTTGCCCTCTTCTCTCCGCCAATCATTGGGTCATTTCCCATCTTTTGTGCAGTGTCCCCCTATTCTAAAAGGTTGAGATACCTCTTCAAAGGTTTACTTACCGGTAGCAAGAGCTTTAAGGTGCAATCCTATGCACGTTCAGACGAAAAAAAAGGCACAGCTGGGTAGGACACACTGGGAGCTGCAGACCTTTCTTCTGTCTAAACATAAGACACATTTCCAGAATATTGTAGTTTAAGGATGCATCCTTAAACTACAATAGTCTGGAAATGTGTCTCACCCCTTTTGACACCCCCCAGTGGAAGCACCCCAAAGTGCTTCTCTGAAGGTGTCTACCACCCCTGCTGCAAACTCTTGGAAGCATCATCCAATGCTTTGCATGTGTGACCATGTGTGTCAGACACCCCAGCGACACCGCGGTAGGAACGCACCCTGCCTGACACTAAAGCTCAAGTATTCACTTTGCTTCAAACGTCCTGACATTCCAGACACTCTCCAGAGCAGAGGGAGCAACAATTTCACAGCAACGGGGTGCAAGGACACATTTCGCGAGCTCCTTTGCAGTGTGCAGCCCTTTCACACACGTCTGTACTTCCACACAGAGGGAGCGTACATACCCAGCTTCATGAGGCATGCCAGCAGGATCCAGAGCGCGATCTCAAAGGGGACCCGCACACTTTTGTACTGGATACCCACGACAGGAAAAGGTTTCCGGTGCTTGCCGTGTCCGCCGGCCGAGGTGTTCTGGGAGTGTGTGGATACCGGATGAAGCTCCTGGGATGCCGGGGGAGCCGCAGTGATGCTCTCGATCACAGAGATGAGTGCCTTTGAGGAGTGCGAGGGTGGCGTAACCTCCATGGGGGCTTCATGGCCGTTCAGCACAGGTAGCAGCCCCAGGAGAGCTGCGATCCCAAACAGGAAGGGCAGAGTGCGGAATGAGCAAGGAGTTCCCAGGAGTTTTGCCTGCATTTTCCTCCTCTTCCCCAGAAAACGGGCGGATCTGCTGCCCTGGGACGGCTTCTTCCCTAAACTAAATAAACCCCAAACACAAAAATGCTGAGAGCAGCCTGCTTGCAGGGAAGCCCTTCATTAGAAGAGGGGGGCAGCGAAATGAAATCTAAACCAAGGCTGATCTTGTAAAGCTCTCATAATAGAGAAATCCAGGTTAAGATGGGGTACTTTTCCTCCTCGACCCCCAAAACAAGAATCCCTGCAGTATTTTCTCCCCCAAGGAGAGTGAGAAAAGAAAACTTAGAGCCTGCTGAGTTAAAAAAGGGGGTGGTGGTGGAGTTCAAATTCTCTCTCTAAAGGGAGGGAGACTTACGATTGGACATCCCTCCCCGAAAAAGGCTCGGAGGCAGCTCCGAGAGAAGCCAGAAGAAGCCGCCAGTCAGCGGTCCGGGGCAGCGGGGAAGGGCGATCAGGCGCCCGGCAAGGAAGGGGCAGCGGCGGCGGCGGCGGCAGCCCTCCTGCGCCGCAGAGCCAAGGGCAAGCGGCGGCGAGAGCGGCAAGGGCGGGCGCGGGGACGCGCGGGGGGCGCAGGCGAGAGTCCCCCTGGAGAGGCCGCTGCTGCTGGCCGCGGAGAAGCGGGCTCCGGGGAGAAGCCGGCAGACAGGCCGGGCGGGGCGGCGGGCGGGGGACGGACAAGGAAGCGGCTCCTGTTCCGGGTGCTCGTGTGCTGCAGCGCGGCGCCTCCGCCCGGCCCGGCCCGGCCCGGCCCGGCCGCCGCTCCGCCTTCTTCGCTCGCCTCGCTCGGAGCTCCCGCTCGCCCGCGCCCCGTCCAGCCTGATCTGCGCCCGAGACAAGGACGCCGCGGGAGAGGCAGAAGCAAGGGCGCGGAGGCGGAGGCGCCGCGGCTGCGGCCACAGCAGCCTCCACCGGCTGGGAGCAGCACTACACGGGAGCCCGCCTTCTCGCCGCAGCCCCCTCCGCCCTCAGCGCGCTTGCCGGTCCCGGCGCGGGCGAGCCGGTCGTGGGGAAGGGCGCGAGAGCGGGACGCGCGTCCCGAGCTCGCTCGCTCGCTCCGGAGGGCCTCGGGCAGGCGCTTCCCGGCAGCTCCGTCCCGGTGAAGGGGCAGCCTTTCCGCCTCGCTCCCTTTATCTTACGCAAGGCGGGCATGGGAGACGCCGTGAGACAAAGACAGCTACGCCAATGGGATGGATGCGTTGCAGAAGTGGGCCGCCTGTCGCCCGCGAGAGCGCACGGCCCCCAAACCGGGGGGAGGGGGCGATGGGGCCGCGTTGCCGCGGGAGCCTGCGCCTGCGGGAGGGCGTCTGTCCCGCCGCCCTGCCGGGGGTGCTGGTGGCCCACGGTGCCCGGGATCGGCTGGCTTTTGGCCCGCGTGCGCCTCGCCTCCTGCTGCCCAGTCCTGAACCTTTCTGAGCGGTTTGTGCGCTCGCTTGCTGGAACCAACCGCCTCCCTTCCCCCCTTTTACAGACAGGGCTTTCGTGAGAAGGGTCCTGTGAAGACACACAGGGAAACTTCGTAGCAGATCCAAACCGCTGCATGCGGTTCTCTGGGCCTGAGCCCGGATTTCTTGCGCATTTCACACCGGGAGCCAGAGGGCGCGCGCGCGGGCCTTGAAGATCCCGCCAAAGCCTCCTCGCTTTTACCAGTGGGATGGTAATTGACACAGCTCCTCCAAACTAAATAAATGAGTCAGTGAGCCTGAGTTGTCTCACAAAAAGTTTTGCTTAAAAGGAGAGAAGGCGCTTACATCACCGACATTGTCAAGTCTTGAAATGACCTCCAACCCACAGCCTTCCTCCAGTTTGGCACTCCTGAGGTGAGCTGAGTAATCCTACTACTGTTTGTAGACCCAATGCAGGTCGAAGCTGCCTCCGGGATAATAATATATATATTATTTAAAGATGTCTAAGTGAGCGTCACAAATTTCCAAGGTGGCCCACCAACCAAAGCTGTGGAATGGCCTCCCCAGGGAAGCTTGCTAGTCACCCAGGCTGCCATCTTCTTGTGACTCGACTAAGGTTTCCTGTTCTCTCAAGCCTTCGCAAGATCAAGTGGTTTTAGGAAATCATCCTTTGCATGTCTAGGCAGGAAAAAAGTCCCAGTACTGGCTGGGATCTGCTGGCACTTTTGCCACTTCCTGACATACTTTGCACTTGGTAAACTACACAGCCAAGGGGAAAGTTGGGGCATCCTAGTTTCCCCCAAAACCCCAGGGATCTTGCTTGAAGCAGAGAAAATTGAGGGCTGTCCCCCAAAACATTTTACAGGTCCTTGGGGGTTTTTTAGGGGGACCTTGTACCTTTCTGTTATCCTCCCGTGAGGGCAGTCCAGGGCACACGAGTGCCTCACAAAAATTCCCACAAGGATTCTGCTGCAGAGGATGCTTTGCACAAAGGCACGCGCATGCACACGCCCTTACATTAAAAATAGCAGTGGGCTACCAAGCTGTAAATTGGCACATATGCTGCAGACGAGTGTCCTTGCCAAGTTACAACTTAGCAGCACACTGCTATTTTTTTTCAAAATACTTTTTTTTAAAGAGTTGGGACGCAGATAATACAGAGGCACTTTTCTCAAAAGACAAGCTGCAGCCAGTGCTAAATGGCTTGCTGCCGCTCAGGAAGCATCCTGGTAGTCTAGCAATATCCCCTGGGATACTGCAGGAATACTGCAAGGGAATGGAAAAAGGGGAAGGAGGCGGCAAAACCCCTGCCCAATTGTCTTTCAGGTGCAGAGGGACTTTCAGCCACAGTGTGTGTGGTTAAAATTCCCAGTGGATTTAACATGTGCAAGCCCAGCCTGGTTCTCCCACCTGGCCCTCTGGAGAACTTCAGGTGAATGGAGGACAGCTGGGAACAAAGGCCATCCTCAGGGCTGGTTTGGGAGCATACTTTGGCATCCGAGGCAAGGCATTCCTGTGGCAGGATGCCCCAGGCTGCCCAGTGTCCTGTGGGAAGAGAGTTTCCTTTGGCATTTCACTCCACCCTGAAAGCACCCAATTCCTCCTGATCTCAGATGCTTGGTCAGGTGGGGCTGAGATACTATGATCGGGAGTGGCGATGACTCAGGACCAGAGCACCTGCATTGCAGGTAGAAGGTCCACCATTTGAGCCTGGCTTCTCCTGGAGGAATTCTCAGGAGACGCAGGATAAGACAGCTTCCCATGTTCAGAGGCTCTCAGGAGCCTAGCACCTTCCTGATCTGAGCAGCTACATTTCATTTGCAATACCTCTATTTTTACATTTTGCACTTCATTTCTTTTGTTAGCTGCTTAGCCCTCAGAGCAGTTTAGGGTGCGGTGTTCGCATAAAGAGACAGAGAAAAGCCCTACCCCTCTCCCAACCAGCATGGTTTCGGCTTGCCCCTTTGGTGCTGAAGCGTGGCTAATCCATGCTTAGAAACGAATTGAAAGACAAGACTATTCTCCTTGCTTTCTTGAGAGAACCCACACTCGCAGAGAAGCAAAAGGCAATTTAAAGTGGTTCTCATACATTGTGGTCACAGCACAAACCCTCTGTGGACAAACTCTAAAATCCATGGCTCAAACCGATTTCCCTGCAGAGCACAAGAGAGACCACATAAGCTAGTTTAGCCCTTAGGAAGCCCGTTTTGCTTCCATACATTAAGGCATTAAATGGGCTACTTTTTGGATCAAACGCAACCACATTCGCGCAGCCACAGGAGTTCATGCATCCTGTGCACTGTGGAGCTTGCTGCTTTGCCGCCAGACTCTTAAAATGGCATATGGCTTTGGGACACACCACACACTCATTACAACAAACCCTTGTACATAGAAGCCGAGATGGAATTGGCATAATCTATCTTGTGATACTTGCATGCTGTCTATCTTCCAAGCAGTTCGTGGCAGTACAAATGGTTCTCGTAAATGTTACCCTCACAATAATCTTGCAAAGTTGATTAGGCCAACAGATCGCGACTGCCCGCTGCCTGTTCAGGTGTGCTGGAAAATGCTGTCCTACTGCTAGTGCCAAAGTAAGATTCAGCTGCCATTCCAGTCTCTTTACCTGCATATGGAGTGAGGAATCTCATGGCCTCCAGGAGTAAAATGTCTTGGGCTGGCCCCGATTACCATCATCAATTTATTAGTCAACCTATCATAAAACAGAATAAAACTGATTATCAATAATGCAATAACAACAATAATCAGAACACAGGCATATTTACTTCATATCATTAAATGTCTAGAGTTATTAATATTTAAAAAGCATATTCAAAGTCCATCTATTTATTTACCTGGAAACTTAGGGAGGTAGGTGTTGTTTCTTATGAAAAAAAGAAGGGCAGCAAATACCTTTTTGATGTACAATATCTTCTTTTTGAGATGGGATTGGAAGGTGGGCTTCTGTTCAGCCAGAGGAGGCCACCTTCTAAGGGCCCAGGACCAATTCTGCTGAACCTTCGAAGCAAGACCTGAGCCTGGTTGCTTTCACTGCGTGCTCCCTTCAGTTTGCATGGCCTGAAGGCCATATGTGACCCTCCCCCCACCTTTTAGGCTGCCCCCCACTTCTGAATTTGCAGCAGCGAATTTGCAGCCGCCAAAAGGGCCCCCCAAGCCAAAAGAAAAGAGCTTGTGCCTTGTTTTGAACCAAATTGGCCCTTTTTCACCACTGCAACCTGGCAGAGGTGGGGGGCACACAGAAGACCCAGAAGTACAAGTTGCTTGTGGGCCAGGACTTGGCCACCCCTGCTTTCCATGGCTGAAGCGAATGAGCCATAGGAAGCAGGGCTCCAAAGTGAAAAGGAAGAGGCACCTTGTCTATTCAGCTTTGATTACTTACTTGACTTTGTGAGAGTGATAAAAGACATTTCTATTATTTAAAAGGAAAATTAAGCACCTTGTTACATACCCAGTGCAGAGCCAACTACATGCATGATTAATGTTGTCAGAGTTAACAGAAGCAACAAAGATTTCTTGGTACATTTGGGTGTAGGGTAGCTGCAGGTTTTGGGCAGTAGCAAAATGAAATATGCCAGCCACAATTTTAACTAGTACAACTGAGCTTATTTAAACTGTACCAGTCTTAAAAGATCTATACCAGTCGCCTGTTTACTTCTGGGGCTAGTTCAAGGTGACAGTCCAGAACTTCAAAGCCATAAACATCTCTTGCAAATGGTTTTCTTATCATAAATTCCCTTGCAACAGCAACAGAATGCGTTTTTGCTGTGGCACCTCTCAGTGGAATATCCATTGTTTTAATTCTGGTCCCAAATCAAGTCATTTATATTTTCCCAGGCATTTAGAAATTGAGAAATGGCTTAGCCTGCCATATTAGTGCTGGTCATTGTTAACATTTTAGGCTGTGTGAGGGGCTTAGAATAGATGTGTGATTCATCATCTTGAAATATATTAGTTGAAAGGCAACACTCCCAGAGTTCTCTCTGTTTTTAATAAATACATAAACAAACCGAATAGATGGATAACTGGGTGAACATTCATTTAAGCATTGCTTTTAAAAAGTTTTTAAAAGGTAGACACCCCTCCTGATGCACAGTGGGAGAGGCAAGGCTAGAGGTTTGAGCCTCTATGCAACTTGAGGGTGTTTATCTCATTTCTGGCAGGCTTATGGAGCACCTGAAGAATTCATGGTCAACTCTGCTT